AAGCATATTCATTACATTTCCAGGAATTCATCGATATATGTAAATGGCCCTTTTTGCACATGCAACTGGGCTCTTAGGTGGTTTTGGGTGGTCATCTGAGGCTTCTTCCTCCCATAGGTCAGTCTTTCTCACCGTGTCCTTTTCTTGAACTTTAGGACTTGTTCCTGCTCAGTTCTTTTTACTTAACTAGCGCATTCTTGCTAAACCATAAAGCTGGTTCTTGTGAGTATGCTCCCCTTATCTACATCCTCTGTCAATACAATGGAACACACAACGAACTACTGTGTGGTGGTTCAACCACAGTGGGACCATGCGGTCCTGCATCCCCCCCACACACCCGGTGAGATGAGAGAGGAAGCACAACAAAGGGGACATGGGATTAGGATGAAGGACAGGGAGGGCTCACTCACCAGTCATGGTCACAGCCAAAACCGACTCAAACTTGGGGAAGAAAAATCAATTTAATTTGTTGCCATTCATCCAACTAGACATAACAACCACATCTTGCAACACCTTCCCCCACCCCTTTCTTCTTCCCAGGTTCAAATTACTTTGCTTCCGGCACAGGAGACAGGAAATGTGGGTTGCATTCAGTTCGCCATTACTGCTCTTCCTGGCGTGAAAGTCCAGGAACAAGATGTTCCAAAGTGAGATTCCCATGGAATCATGGACCTCTTTGGGCTCAGCTCCCAGCTCCAACATGGGGACATCCACAGGCTGCAGATTGGCCTCCAGTCCAGTGTACCTCCTCACCCCTGGCTTAGGGTGTCCCACCTCTGCTCTGGTGTTGAGCATCTCTGGGCTCTCAATTCAGTCACACTTGCCCTCAGGCTCAGCTTTCTGCTCTAACATGGAGTCCTCCATGGCCTACATGTGGGTATCTGATCTGTTGTTGAACTTTCATGGGCTGCCGGGGACTTAATTTACCTTCTCCTACTGCTTGCAGTTGAACTGGGTGTCTGAAATTCTCTGTCCTCCTCCTCTTTCTTCCTGACAATGAAGCTTTCTCTTTGTTTAGGCTGGTGGCTGTCTTTTGTTCAGGTCAATGGCCTCTCCTCTTTCTTCTTTTCATGACTGTCCTTCCCTTCACAAATATGGATTCACAGAAGTGTTTCTCTATCGCTAATTAGCTCAGCCTGGGCTGAGGCAGGTATGCCTGGGAGCCAGGGGTGCTTCACAAGGCTTCTCACAGCAGCCATCACTGTAGCCCCTTCCCCCCCTACCAAAACCAGCCCTTCCCATAAACCCAGCACACCTGTCCTGTGCCTCTTTGGGTTAACTGCTACGTGGATCACAAACTCCTCCATGTACACGGGTCCCTCCATCAGGATCAGTACAGCAGAGAATGCACATCCCTACTTCCCTTCCTCAGGCTGTCCCCCCTCGCATTTCCCTCACTCCTCATTCATACCCTTGCCCCATTCTCACCCTCTCTTTCTGTGCCCTCTGGCAAGCCCCTCTGCAGGGAGGGGGGTGTAATGTTAATCTAAGTGTATCTATTTTAAATGCCTACATTTATATGTCATAATCTTGAACTGAACCCTTTTCTTGTGCTAAGACGAAGAGGCTCTTCCTCTTATTTAAATTTAGAGCTGAGAGTTAGTTGTTGAAACATGGCTATCTAATATCATTTTAGATGTCCTATCACTTCCAAGGTAGACGCATGATGCCAGTAAATATAGCACAGGACCTATGGGAGAGAGCTAGATTGGATTTGCTCACCTTTGCGAGGACCATTCACCTGTGCTGGGGCTCCTTGCTGCAAATGGCCCTCCTGTCCAATGTTTTGACAACTGAGTTAAGGCTCTATTGAGTGTTGAAAGAGTTCAGACCACTGACCTGTACACAGGCCTGGGGGTTTTAGGTGCCTAAGTGGCAGATCAGTCACAAACCAAGCACTTTTTATCACCCTTTCCCTCATATTGGATCCAACTGCATTTACATTTGCTCAACAATTCCTACAACACCCCCCTGCCCCTCAATTCACTGGATGTGCACTGTGCATCCCAACTACAAGTACATTCATCCATTGACCTCCTCAATTCCCCACACAGTCCCTTTTTTTTTCTGTCATGCACTCCTACAGCCACTGAATTCAGCCCTCTCCAACTGTCCAACTACACCACTCCTCACACAAATCCATCCACTCCTCCACCCATCCTCCCAGACTGTACTTCGCCTGGTCTGCCTGCCCAACCCTCTGCCCATTTCTTTCTCTGTCAGTATAGGTGCTGGTGTGCTCCAGGTGTAATTATCACCACTCAGGCTCAAACTCATGCTGTGCCTTGTGTCTCAGGCTGTCCTGGTTTTTAGCTGAAACAGAGCTGGGGTTTTTTTTCAGTAGCTAAAATTGTGCTGCGTTTTGCTTTCAGCCTGGGACTCGCTATGAGAGAGACACTGATAATATACCAATGTTTATATTTTTGTCGCTGGAAGTGAAGGACTTTGTGTTCTGTTAGTCCACAAGCACAAGATTTAAGGGGGGTAAAGAATACTGAAATTAATAAACTTAATTGACAGTTAGATATGCCAGTGGGGTATTCCAGATCATATCACGTCATGTCCAGTATATTAGTGAGGGTCTCTTCCTCTTTCAGCTCTCTCTGGATTTTTGCTCAGGCTCTCATTCTTCCAGGATCGCGGTTTCGGTTCGGGATTGTTGCTCCTTCAGGATCGTTATCTGGGAACAGGCCAGGCTCGGTCAGGAGGTGGGTGAGCTATAACATTGGGTGTCACTCATTTGTATATTTTGTTACTGTTATCCTTATCACTACTATTTTAATATTAGTATTATTTTAAGTTTTCTCTCTATTATTAAACTGTTCTCATCTCAACCTACAAGCCTCCTCATCCTGGCCCCCCAATCCTCTCCACTATCCCCTGGGGGTGGAGAGGAAGTGAATGAACGGCTATGTTGGCTGCTAGCCAAGGGCTAGCCCAGTGAAACTGTCACACGGGCTTTGACCCATCATTGCTCCCACCTTTGCCTGTGCTCTCATCTGAATTTAGCACACACCACCATCCCGTTGAACCAATAGGCACTTTTGACACCTGCAGTTTCCATTCCAAGACTGTCTTCTGCTAATCTGCTATGAGGCTGGTGAGGGAGAGGCAAAAAAGGATCCTGAGGTGGAGTGTGAGGAAACTAAGAGTCTTCCTGGCCCATGTATATGGCAGGGAGCTCCATATCTTGGAGGAAGAGAAGGTGGACGTGCCCAGTTTTGGAGTTTGGTGTTTGGTCGGTTGATTGGTTGTTTTGTTTTGTTTTTTTTTCACCAGGTCCTCATAGCTCACTTTATGTTCTTTCCCATGCAGAAGCTGTCTTCAACTGAAGAGTCAAGATGAGGAAAAGTGGCATACTGAGCAAACAGTATTTGTGTAGGGGTGAGTTGGGGCCAGAAGGGTGGAATCTGTGAGCATTGGGGAAGATTTGAGCTGGGAAAGCAATGTGGGAAAGAACTGATGTCTTGAGTGGTGGACAGGGAGGTGCATCTCATCATATTCTGGGAACTCAGGGACACGGCCTGTAGTCAGCCTTCACTTTTTCTGGTTGGCATAGCAAAAGATGTTTTTGTAAGTGCAATTCATGTCACCTATAGTGCTGAAGGCTTTCCAGGGAAACCATCACAAAGTGGGAGGACAATGCAGAAGAGCTGTCTACTGCTGTGGGATGAGGGGCAATACTCCTGAGTGCTATGATATTGCACCACCTCTACTGCGGTGCTAAAACATCCCCTACTGAATTGTATCGTGATACTTAGGTACATTGCTTGATTGGTGAGTTGCATCATGCCCTCCAGGTGAACTATACAATCTTCTATACCCCATCCCCTTTCAAGACATTAGAACCACCCCTAGGAAGGTCTTATACCTTCCTTTGCTAAGTATCACTCTATTCCTACTACAGCGTTATGCTGTTCTTGACAGAAACACTGCTCCAACACATTTTACCATCAGGTTTGATGCACCACTGATGCCAAACCTTGCCCCAATATGAGATACTCTTCATCTCAAACTAAGGGCAAAGGTATGGAGAAGGTTGCCTTTCCATGGGCTGCTGTCATAGCAGATAGAGAGGTCACCAAAGCCATCTTCCAACCAAATTCACATCTTTGAATTTGTTGGCTTCAGACAAACTGTACGCTACAGGTATGACAGGTGAGAAAGGGAGGTCAGTGAGAAACATCTCCACCACTGCCAATGAAAAGGAGATGTGGTGACATCCTGCGACTCTACCTTTGATACCACGCTAAGTGCTCTCGGTATGGTCCCCTCTTCCCTTCCAGCAGTCCAAAATGAGTAGTATACCTGTTTAAGTTGAAAATCAAGCTCATCTCCTTGGAGCATTAGTCTCAAAGCAGGTGGTGGGACCTGCTCCTCCCTCTGAGATATGGTCTGAAGGTTTGAGGAGCTGCATGGCACCTCCTTGCCTTTTGCAGAGGCTCTGTGGTGATACTGCCTCATGCTACATGCTGGGGGACAGATAGACCCCTCTCAATACCATGGTAGGACTGAACTAAGATGAGGCATGGCACATTTAGGCAATCTGAGGACACAGATGCTATGCGTGTTCGACAGAAAGGAAACTGTTGTCCAAGAGATCCATGTTGACAGTCTCAGGAACCTTTCATTGCTACTGGCATTTCTGTGGCAGGTTTGGATGCACAATGGTGTCCCACTACAAACAGTTACCTCAAATTTAAAGTTTCCTACATGCAACCAGGGTGACAGCTGTTGTGTCTTCCTCAGGTTTACTCCAGAGAAGGTTACAGTTCTTTTCTTCCTATGGTGAAGTGAGGCTGGAAACTGCAACAGTAAATGTAACCATCCAGGACTTTGTGGCTGATGTGGTGTCTGAGCTGGCTTTCCGCAATATGCAGCAAGTCTCTAGGGAGGCTATGTTCATCTTTCCTGTGAACTCTGACACTGTTGTACACACCTTCTACGCTACCATGGGGGAGACTCATATTGAAGCAATGCTCTGGGAGAAGGAGGAGGTACTGGGATTGCAGTGGGAGGGGATGGTCCGCAGATTGGGATGAAGGTTGGAGGTGAGAGAATGGAATCCTGCAGAGACCTCAGTGACACATTTTTATCCCTCTGTGGCAGGCCCAGCAGCTGTGCAAAGCCACGTCAGACATGGAAAATTTAAGATACCTGCAAGAGCAGTCGGATCTTTGGGGTCCTGTGTTCGCTTGTTTTTTGGGGACCTTGCCCCCTAATGGGGAGGTGACCATCAGTCTGTGCTATGGCCAGGAGCTGCCCCTACAGCCTGATTGAGCTGCCCG